ACGTATCAACAACCACCTATTTACTCAAATCAACAATTAACGAGCGTTCCAAAACGCAGAAAGGCTTTATTAATCGGGATCAACTATTACAATACAAAGTTTCAATTGAAGGGTAAAAATAATTTAATCGTTTAGTCGGAATTTTGTATACAAGTAATTTCCGACGAATTAATTTGATTCGATTTTTTTTTTTTTTTTTTTTTTAAATGCAATAATAATAAAATAAAATAAAAGGGTGTATAAATGATGTTGCCAATATAAAAAAATTTTTAATTGAATTATATGATTTTCGAGAACAAGACATGTTGATCTTAACAGATGACAAAAAAGATCCAGCAAAGAGACCTACCAAAGCAAATATCTTAAATGCAATGAAATGGCTTGTACATGATGCTCAGCCGAATGATTCGTAAGTTATCAAAAAATTTCAAGTATATTTCTCGAATATTGCTAAAATGATAGTAAATTTTTTCTTGTCAAGGCTCTTTTTCCATTATAGCGGACATGGAGGTCAAGAACCAGATCAAGATGGCGACGAAGTGGATGGATACGATGAAACCATTATGCCAGTTGACTTTCAAGAAAGAGGACAAATACTTGATGATGTAAGTTTTTGTTTTATCTTTTTCTAATTTTTACTTGCAATATATTCAATTTCCTATGTATACTAGACAATGCATGAAATCATGGTTCGTCCACTTCCAACTGGTAATATATTTTTTTGCCTTTAACCATTTTTTGTTTCTGAATAACATTCTTTTTATGCTTTGCAATTTTATTTTATAGGTGTAAGATTAACGGCCATTTTTGATTCATGTCATTCTGGAACTGCACTCGATTTACCATATATATATGCTACAGATGGAAGAGAAAAACAACTAAACCTTTTTTGTGCAGGAACGAATGCAATTATGGATGCCGGGTTATCATATTTAAGAGGTGATGCCGATTAATAAAGCCTTTCTGCGTTTTGGAACGCTCGTTAATTGTTGATTTGAGTAAATAGGTGGTTGTTGATACGT